TCTCATCGTTTATGCTAAACCAGTCTATCTCGCAGGGCAAATTAAGGTCACCGCCTGGAACAGAATTGTCGTTGCATACGTGATCCAGCCATTTGATCCTCAGCGTCGATGTCAACGCTGCTGCATGAAATTCAACTGTCGTTATTGGTCATTCGTTAGAAAAGATGTATCCATACCGCAAAATAATCCTGATCTGACATTGTTTCTGCGTTATATTTAATAATAGGTAATGCGCATTAATTAGACATAAATATTTCTCAGTAAAATTTATTAATTAACGTATGATATTAATGTAGGTAATAAAGTAATTAATGTCAAATGGCGCATAACTCCTTGAAGATCATGTTTCTCTGTGTTTCACAGACTCCTTGTTCTTGTTTTCCATTATTAAGACCATTTAAATTGATTATGCTCCATGTAGCTTGTAATATAGTTCATGTAAATATCATGTAAATGGTCTATGTCATGCATGATTACGTGTTGAACTGATAAAACTACCTTAGTACGAACATTGTAGTTCCAGTTTAATCAGAAAGCCGTTTTCTGTTTAGAGAGTATCATCACGAAAATGTAGCGGTCTTTTCCGATCTTTTTATTCGAGCTTGCATTCAGGGTGTATTTCTCTTGGACTCATATTCCTTAAAGACGTAAAACGGCCTGTCATTTCCTGGTTATGCCAGATGCCTTGACTCACCAGATGTCGATTTTGAGTCACGGCAACAGCAAGGCTTACATCGTGTACTGTGTATCAAATTGAGAAAGCAGCCATCACATGGGTGAAGGCGAATTGCAGTCCTATGGCTCGCATCACACAGATTGGCCGTATCTTTCATTGTTTCTAATACGGCCTCAGCATTGTACCATGCTGTACTTATTTTTCACAAGTAATGACTGTTATTACTTTCCTGAGCAGTTGCACTGAATTAATTACATTGGGTTAATTCCTTGCTTAAGTGAAATGGTTGTTGCGACAAAGATTGTCTCTCCTGCGGAATCGAACCCGGTTCCGATGAACCCTGCGTTTGAGGCCGACCTTATTGCCACTTTGCCACGTTCCACAGCGCCTAGTAGATGGCAGGGATCTAGGAAAGTTCACCGACTGCAGTTCACTGACGGAAGGTTCACTGACAACAATTCACCGACCAGCAATTCGTCGAAATGAAAATTCACAAATTTTACAATTGATCGCCGATCATTTATTTATTAATAGCCACGAAACGTGCTAAACTTTTTAAAGCACATTGATTTACTTCATATCGTAAAGTATTGGCAGTATTTCTAAAATTTGAATGTGCTGAGTTTGAATTAATTTCCCTGAAAATAAAAATGATGTAGGTACCTGTAAATTTCGAATAAAGCAGATTTCATTGAAGTAGTTTAATTGAAAAAAAGCTTCTGAAACACTGTTTACACGCTTACAAATAAGTTGTTACTGCAGTACCTAATTAGTAATTTATATTATGTGCCACACCTCTCAAAAAACTCTGAAACATTACACCTATCATAATTCGCAACTAGTCCGAAAAGTCTTTCAGCGCAATCCCTATATTTCTTACACGCAGAGCTACCTTGTTGGCCACTCACATACTGTTTTATTTGCAATGTTCTAATGCTCTGCTCACGCTGAATCGCTTCAATAAACTTCCAGATATTAGGGTGTTGTGCAGATATTTGCATTTCGAATCCACGATGCCACTCTTCATTTGAATTCTTTGTCTTTCAATACGGTGTCTTATTTCTTCGTGGCAGTTCCACATTTCTAGAAAGAAGCGGGGCATGCGGCGTCCCATGCATCATTGAGAACGTTCAGTCCAGCAGTCCTCAGTCTCACCTTCTGCGATGTTATCACCACTACCGCTAAGAATCTGAAATGCTTCTACCACATCTTCTGTTGAGACAAAAGCCAGCGCAGACAACAATCGTAGTTTCATTGCAAATTCGACGTCAGTTTCATACCTCCTTTGAAGATCTTCTGCCCGAATTCTTCAGAACATACACTGCAAGAAATTGAAGAAACATTCTCGGTGTGTGGCCCTTGGAAATTCTTAACGAATAGCACTGTGGCAGGTTCGAAATCGGTCATAATTATTTCTGAGGAGGCATTTGGTTGAAGTTGTTTTACTTGTTGTAATAACATATGTGGTCTTTGTCTTGTCTCTGATAGTGGCACATACAAAAGCGGAATTGAACTGTTCAGCTGAATACCGTGGAGTGTGTAGAGTTGGTGAAACAAATGAGGCGATGTTTTAAAAGTTCCACCTGCCGACCAATGTTCTGATGAGGCCAATAACAGGTGATTTCTTGCGGTGGAAAATATAACTATTCTATTTCCCGTCGGTCCTGAATCAAGCAGCAAGAACGGCTCATCTTCTTTAGTTATCTTATACTCCTTGGGAAATACAATTTCCTGTCGGGTCATAGGCAAAGCTGGTGCTGCTTGTTCCTTTTGTCTGTCGTTTCGTATCGTTCTTTTGATACTATCGGTTTTCACAATATGTCCTGCAGTAGCTTGGCTAAGTCCCATAGACGCATTAGATATAATATATTGGGGGTGTTTCTTGGCTATTTATTGCACGATCATGTACAACATCTTCCATCTCCCTTCACGACCTCAATGGTATCTCCAACTGGTATTACACTAACGCGGCACTTGTGCTTTCGATACATCTCACACTTCCAATGTCTTGTCAGCTTGTTTTTCTTTGAAAATAAGTGACTCTCCACTAAAAGTTTCTGTTTTCCTTTTTTACTCGCGACGAACTGAAGGTCCATTATGGTTAATGAAAATTCGCAACTGACCTCTGAATTTTCCAACACGAAGAACTTTTTGAAACTGACCTGTGAATTTTCTGAGGCTTTGTATGGGGGGGAGGGTAAAACATTGTAATTGTTGTGCTCATTAACATAATCTTTCGAATATGCTGTTTCTAAATACTTTTAGTGGATACCTATATTTTATATCGTAATAAATTTTTTAATTAATAAATCATGGACAATCAGTTGTAGAATCGGCGAATTGTCCATTCGGTAAATTGTTCTCGGTAAACTTTCGGGATACAAGATAGCGGCACTTCATAGCTCTCTCTGAGATTGGGAGAAATACGAACAGTCATATTTTGCTGTTGCATGGAATCCCATATCTTGATTGTTTCCCATTCTTTTCACACTGATTGTGGAAAGCACCGGTGTTATAATTATTTATGCTAGTAAATTTTAGAAAATCATGCAGGCAATATAAGTTGTTCAATAATGGTATTATAAATAACTTAGCATTTTTGTTTATACCACTACTGTAATAAATAACGATACATGTCACTGCATATGTCTGTACGGTAATTTTGCTGCCCCCTTGCTTCTAGATTCCAGTTGAACAGGTCACTGCTGTATTGTACTTGAGTGCACCGGCAGTGCAAGGATGCAACGCGGCATCAGTAATTAGGGTACGAACTAGGCATATTCGCGCGCATACTCAAGCCCCCATCGAATGTGTTGTTAAGCACTTATTTCAGGATGATGATTAGTAATTTATTTCATTATTTTTATTGACATATATAATACGACCTAGTGCACATGGTCATCCTCAAAGTGCTGATTATGAACCTGTACTCTAGAAAATTTACTGTGATCGAATATTTTTTTAAATGTTCTCTTTCCATTTTGTTTTATATCTTTTTAAATGAGGTGTATACTCCCTCTTCATATCTTGTTGTAAGCTATCTCTTCCTCTCCTCTGCCCTTCCTTTCAGAGACATTTACTTTAAGCCCAACTCGGGGTCGTCAGAAATGCTCGTTTGCTAAACGTTGTTTTTCCTTCTTCATCTGTTTTTTTGTTCTTGTAAGGAGCTACTGTGGCTGCAAGATATGTGTGTATGCAAGTTCCTGATACCAGTAAAGTTTTAACAACGCTTTTTTTAGAACCAGGTCTTTTGGCAGTGCTGCCCTGAATATGTGCTACGTCGCACAGGGCTCTGCGGATGCGTATTTAGAGTTTGGAATTCACTGTTGGGACATCGCTGCTGCTCTGGTTATAGTCCAAGAAGCCGGCGGTTTTGTATGCGATATAACAGGTATAGTTTGTAAAGTTAAGAATTAAATGAAAGTATTCTAGATATGTATAGATGTCGATTCATTGTCTTTTTGAGTGACGATTATGGTCTTCGCTTCCCGATCCATGGTTTAAGGTCAAAGCTGACTAGAGCGATGTATAATTCTTAATTTGGTGACACGTTTCTACACCTCACACCAGCGTAATAAAGTAATCTAGTTGTTTTGATGTTATTATGACCAGGGGTTGCCCTGATATTCATCGCCGTTTTTAACTAAACCATAGATCAGGAATCCAAGACCATTAATTGCAAAAAGATTATTAAATTGTGATTAATGTTTCTGTAGAACTTATGATTAAAACATGCATAATTTTAGGCTCAGATGCCATTACTTGCATAAAATGTTCCCCTAAGCAACTAGGAGCGGAGGAGTAGTACGCAGTGAAATCTTGTCGAGTAACATGGTCGAAGCTACGAACGTATCTGTCGCCGCAGGTTTCACCAGTTAGGACATCTGTTTATAGTAATGTCAGTATCGTCTGCAGTTGGCTTTTTGATGAATCGAGTCTGGTTTTGTGAGATATACCTTTGAGCTATGCAATTATCAGATCAGCCATTTATTGATTCACGGCGAACTTTCGCAAAATTGTTTCTCCAATCTTGGCTCTGCAAGTTTCCACTCACTAAAGACATTAAAGGTTACGTTAGGTCATTGTTCTTGAAAATACGCTGTATCAGTTAAGATATTTTGCTAATAAGCATTTGGTATCATTTGCTCAGGGGCAGAAATCGACATCATGAACAGAAAGATACTCTGTACGGCAAATGAAACTTTGGCAAAGTCTGTTTCTTCGTTGATAGAAAATTTCGATTTGCCTCGTGATTAGCATCATTCACTTTTTTGCTTGATTATCGAAGTGATCATCAGCTAAAGTTGGTCGATTGAAACTATATCCTTTAATTTTGAACTGTTGTTGCTTTCGAAGTTTTGTGTATATGTTTAGTCAGAGTAAATTATCTGTTGATTTATTTGTTGTGGAAGATCGAAAACATCGTTCTTGTGCATGGTTAGCCACAACGTAATCCGAACAAAGGATCTTTATAGGACATAAATATGAATTTACTTGAAGAATTTTCTTTTCGATACCCACCTGCAATGAACAACAAAACTGGCAAACTGTAACAATAACAACAGACCAATCAACAAATAAATCTACAGCTCAGAATGTTCGCCCTGCTCTGTGGCACTTTCTTGATTCTTCTCCGTTTCTTGTTTCACTCTCTTCCCTTCCTCCGCATCTTTTAAGACATTCTCTAGATTTGGAGGAAGTTTCGTTTGCCAGTCTTCGTTTTCGGTCGTTTCTTCTTTGCTTTTTTCTACTTGTTCGTCTTCCTCTTCCTGCACTTCTTCAGGCTAAACGAAGAAATGTTAACGCAAGAACTCACTGCAAAAAAAGAAAAAAATTAAATTACCATTTCATTGGGGTCGATGTGCAAAGAAGATTTGATCATCAATTCAATGCGATCAGCGAAGTTCGCCGAGTTTCTTAACATATAACCGGACCGTAATGTAGCCGCATCGAAAAGTACCAGCATAGCTTCATGAGCGCTTTTGTCGTCTTTGTCAGAGTTTACTCGATTAAGTAGCTCCTTCATGATCGGGTGATGTGGGTTGATTTCCAATATCTTCTTTTCGTTTATGTAAAACTGCTGTGTGGGATCGTCGGTCTTTGCATACGCCTGACTGCGCATGATTCGTTCCATGTTGCCGGTCCAACCCCAAGTACCAGCCACTAGTGCACATGGTGATTTGGTTAACCGCTCCGATATGACAGC